GGAGTGGAGCAATCGGACGTAGTCCGTTCGGAACCCAGAGATGCCAGGGGGGCCATCCAGTATTTCTCGGAGGGCCGTGGGGGGCGACATCCCACGGCCCACCGCGACAGGCCCCCCTGGCCTCACAATTTACTCGGAGGCAGCTCCCGCCGCGTAGGAACCGATCGCGGCTTCGGCTGCCGAAACGTGCAAAGCCTCTAGCACTGACTTGCTGGGACCCGATCTGGACGGGTGGAGGCCTCGCCTGATCCTGCTGAGGTTCTCGAGGCCTTTGCCAGTGGGTCCCAGGGCCCTGCGCTCTCCCACTAGGTGGGAGAGAGGGCACGGCAAAAGAAGGCTTTTAACCTGGTGCGTGGCCGTATGGCCGCACTTCACACAGAAGAACATTGCCACTTGGGGATGGTGGCCAAAGTGTGGGAGGGGTGAACCGCCTTGCCACTGATCACGCGGGGACCCCTCGACCACAGCACCTCGCCACACGCAGCAAACTCGGGAAGGGGGCAAGGCGGCACACACTCTGTGGCGGCAGCTGGAATAACGTGGCAAGCGTCAACGATGATGAGGCAGGCAGGGCATCTCCATTTGTCTGCACACCGCTCGAATTTGTGCTGAGAAGCCGCGATCGCGGTCTGCAACAGAGAGCGAGGGGCTGCCTCCTGGGTGGGTTGCCTCTCTGGCCACTGTCCTCGAGGCTCTGAATTCTTGCCTAAGGAACGTAAGATCAGTCGTGCCCTCTGACGGACGATGGCTGCAATAGCGTCGTATTCATCGGTCCTGGGGACAGGCGGGAGGGCAAGGGCGGCCGACTTGTGGGCCGCGCTTCCCGCGAGCTCGTCGGCATGCTGGTTGCCGAGAGCAAGAAATTGTTGGAAACCATGCAAGGTCAGGGGATCGGCGTGAGATGGGGTCCAGAGCACCGTGACCGAAGAGCCGCCGCCAGATCGATCCTGCACGAGGTGCCTAATTCTCAGCCAGAGATCCCCATTCTTATTCTTGCCCCTAAGGCTGCCAGGTCTGAGACATCTGCCATTCTGCCAGCCGCGCTGCAGGGCTAGGTGATCTGTAACAATCCTGCTGGCACGTCTCCAGTGCCAGGCAAAACGCATGCAATTCGCCTCTTGGGACGGTCTGGCGGGGGCCTGGGAGGGGGGCGAGGAGGCCCGCGTGGAGGGCCCAGGAGGCCGAGGGAGGGTCCCATCGGAGGGCCGCGAGGCCAGAACCAACACGCCGTCGCCTGACGTCGTCGGAAAAGGCGCCGCCAGACCCGTCACCAAAAAGAAACAACTCGCCCTCAGCGTTACGAGCTCCTTCCCACGACGGCAGACCCTCCCGCACCGCACCAACAAACTCCCACCCGTCCCTCCCAGTCAATGGCTCGAACGCGGGCGTAGTGAGAGCGACAGAGGGAATGCCACGGAGCCACAGGGCGGGGTCGGCATCGACCCCCGCCACGGCTCGCGGTAGTAACTTGTCACTGGCCTCAAACTCAGGTCCCACATTCGCCTCGCACTGCCACATTCGGTGAAACAAGGTTTCAGGAACTCCCGCGCTGCATCGGTCGCAGTTCTTGTCGATCTGGTAGCCCGCGTTGTGGAGGCGGTCTCTGGTCCATTGTCCTCCGCTGATGATGGTGTTGTTGAGGGCCCAGTCGCTGAAGTCACCGTTTGCGAGGAGCCTCCTTTGTTCAATGCGGATAGTGACCATGTCTGCGCCTCCAGCCAGCGTGTCACCATGGTCATGCGAAGCGGCCTGAGTCCAGAGGAGCCTGTGTAAATCCTCGCTGAGGTCCTGCAATACTGTGTGGATGTCGGCGTCGAGGAGGTCAGGGTCATCGGCGGGGGGGAGGTTCCACTCCTCGATGTAGCCGTCCTTCGTACGCCTCCACGTGGTAGCTGAGGTCGGCTCCCAACTGGCCTCCAGCAGGGTCGCGATGGCCGCGCCTGTGGGCCCCTTGACCCTGCACCACAGCTTGGGGCCTGCGGCGAGCAAGGTGGTCTTGATCATTGGCCATGCTCTGATGATCCTGGCGTGCGTGCTCGGGTGGCGTATCCAGTGCTGAAGCCAAGCCTCGATGAATTCGATCATTAGGGAAACTCCTGGGTCCATGCCGTCGAAGGTGGCGCCGAGGAGGGAGGTGAGGCATCGGCCCGCTGCTGCTCCCGTGGCCGCAATGGCGGCCTGACGCCGCCATCGTAGTAGAGCGTGCCGAGCGAGGCCGTGCACCTGATGACCGAATACTCCTTCGGGGAGAGCGCCAGTACGCCACAGTCCTGCTGAGATTCGAGCCTGCTGTGCAGTGCTCCGTAGTCGGTGTATCTTGCGAAACCTAGCTGCGGCTGAGCTCTGTCGCTTCCTGGCTTTGGCTTGTACCCGTCGAGTAGCCGCAGCCGCGTCAACTCCGAGGTCGACGGCCGTGGCGGTCGCAGTAACTGGGATGTCGTACTGCCGCAACTTCTTGGCTAGCGATTTGCGGACCTTGGGGGTGGAGCCGATGAGGACGTCTTGTCTGAGATAGGCAGCTCGAACTCCTTTAAACCGTCGCAGAGCGTCTTGGCGGCACGGGGGAGGTGCTTCTGTAGCGTGCGTAGGACTCCTTCGACTCGAAGAACAGTGTCATCTACGAAGGTCCACATCTGGGCAAGCTCTGCCTGAGCTTGGGCTTGCCGTAGAATAGGAAGTAAAATGAGTCGTGCCAAGGTCGTGCCGTGAGGGGAGCCTGCAATGATGCCTTTGGAGGCGAAGATAGGCATACTCACCCATTGTCGACTGCGCAAGAATCTGGGCGCCAGGTATAGCTGCACTTCCAGTAGTAGAATGTTGGGGGGAAAGCCGCAGTTGAGGCCGACCATAATGAGGTTGGCGAGCTTGATATTGTCGTAGAACTTCTGGATGTCTAATAGCAACGTGGCTGACTGTATGCCAAGTGCTGAGGCTGTCTCGTCTAACAAGGCCCTATGTAGGGCGGCCTGGAGAGCGGAGGAGCCTTTGATGGCTGTAGTCCAAAAGTCGTCCAGACCTTGGGTCCAGGATGTAGATGCAGTCGATCTGATGCGAGACCAGAGTCTGGCCATATGAGGTAGCATGCCCAGGACCCTGTCGCCTCCAGACTTCTTGGCGGCGAGTGCTGCAATAGTGCCTGAGATTTGTAGTGGCCAGATGCCTGCTTGCTCTACTGCGTTGAGGCTATCCGCATAGGCTTCGACTGCTGGTTCTGGTAGTCGATGGAGGTCGCGAGGTCCAAGGGCGTCAACTCCATGTGCTTTACTGGGTGGCATGCGGCCGTGAAAGCGGTGTACGATCTCGGCTGTGATGGGCTCGAGCGGTTGGCGAGCGGCTGCTGCCTTGGCCTTTGACAGTGCCTGTAGGATGTCGTCGGGGGTCCCGGTGGCAGGCCATACTTGTTGCCATTGTTGCTTCTTGTTGTCCATGATAACGGTGGGGTCGGCGATGGTCAGGTTGGTCGTGTAGGCCTCGATGCGACGTACGGGCGCTGGCTTGACATGGGCGCGTAGTACTCCAGGGCGGTGTTTCCATTGCTTGGCGAGCCAAGCACCGTAGGCCCTCTTGGACTTGGCGAGGGCGGCGGAGAGCGCTCTGGAGGCCCAAGTAGCGGTAATAGTGACCAAGTCGTCGGTGTCCTCGTTGTCCAAGTGCGGGGCCCAGACGAGTGCAAACCAGCGGAAAATGGTGTCCTCGTCCTTCTCGAACTGGAGGTCGTGAAAGTGAGTGTTGAAGTGGTCCGCGCGCTGCTGGATGATGGAGGCCTGCTGCTGCATGAGCGCTGTGTGCTTGGGCTTATCGTGAAGCGCAGCGTAGCGCTTGATGAGGGTGAGCGTGATTGCCCACCATTCCGACTGAGGGTCATGTACGTGTACGCGGCCTGGGGCGGCGGCCGTCTTCTTCCAAGACAACTGGTAGCCTTGGGCTCGGCCTGTGTATGCTGCGGCTTCCTTCGGGTCGATCTGGTGGTGGCTGATCATGGTGTTCTCGAGCGCCGTGACCCATTTTGCGTACTTGAGGTTGAGGTCGTCGGCGTCGTGCACCCAGTGTGTGCACACGAAGTGCGCGTGAGGCTGCTTACAACGTGTGGGCACAGCTTGCTGCCATTGTTCTTCCCACAGGCCCCTGGGGATAGCATAAGGGATAGGTTCCTGTGCTGCGGGCTCGTCTTGTGGCTGGAGTTGTGCTGCTGCTTGTTGGAGTTCAGGAGGTAGATCGCGTAGGCGTGCTGCTCGAGCTTCTGCTGTTTTACGTTTCTTGATGGCGGTCTTGCTGTTGGGGTCTGGTGGGATCCTGGGTCTGTCCACTGTGGGGAATGCCCTGGGGGTATGGATCGACTGATACCACCAGGGTTCTGCACTGCCTGCTCGAACTTTAAGGCCAACATGGGTGGCCCAGGGTACGGTGGGGCACTGTCGAATGGAGATCGTGTGCTCGATGCCAGTCTTGACCAATGCGAAATCAAGCGTGAGTCCCTGGCCCTTGTCGCACGTGGCGGATCCAGGCGCTCGCGCAATGGTAGCATTCCATTCGGCGGGCCACTCTGTCGCTGCGAGCTGCTCAGGTGTCATATTCCAATCGGCCAGGATGATCCACGGGTCCGTGAGCATAGTAACGAAGGCTCCCAGCGAGAGTAGCTTATCGTGCACTGCACCCTCGATCTGCCTGCGGGGTTCCAGATACGCAGCAATAACGACCAGGTTGCCAGAGCGTCTGTGCCATACCATGGGCGTGAAGCCGCGGAACGGGTCGGGCCTGCGCTGGGAGATGGCCAGGTCGCGGAGGTGGTTGAACGTTGTGGCCTGGACATGGTACCTGGAGAGGATGATCTCGCCACCCGTGTTGCCTCCGTCTGATCTGCTGGTCGGCGTGGCCGTAGTCGATGATATCCTCCAACCGTCCGCTGCCAGCTTGTCGTAGATGAGAGGCGCTTTTCCATGCGAGATGTGTGTTTCAACCAATGCCACCATCTGATATTGTTTGCCTGGCCCTGCCAGCCA